TTTCGGCTAGTATGGCATCTGGAGCTCGTTTTCCTCTTTATCTGGACTCAAATGGCATCGCAGTTTGATGATTGTGTCGATAACTGTCGACTGAAGTAGTCCAAATGTCGATGAGAGAAATGAATTTTTTAGCGACATATTGACTCCAATTTTGGAAAAAACATCCAACATTCGTCGCATCCTTCATAATTGGGAGAACGATGTTTGCCTAAAAGTCCAATGATGATTTCTCTCTGTCAAAGTCTTCATACTTTACCAATTTCCGAATATCAGGACCATTTAAAACGCCTGAAATGAAATGAATATAAAAAATATATGAAATGAAGGAATGGATGGAATTCTCCAGTGATGAATCAAAAAATTAAAATGAAGAACAAGAAAATAAAGGAAAAGAAGTGGAAGGGATGGAATTATCCAGCAATGAATCAGATTACTCAATGTTTTGATATAAAAAAGTTTTTTAATAGTAAAATTAATACAAAATAAAAAATCAAACTCTCTGTACGGCCATTCCAAGCTTGGAATGGCCGTGTACTTTTCTACAACTCTATTTTATCTATTAAATTTTTTCCTACAGATTTTCCAAAGATTTCGGCAAAAAATTTGGTGTTGAGTATGAAAAGATGAATATTTTGGAAAATCTTGTTTAAAAATTGTTTTCCAGCAAATAAGTAAACTTAAAGTTCAGTTTTGTGTGCGTATTTTATAAATTACTTCTTTTAGTATACTTTCCAACATTTTTGCCAGAAGTAGCAAGAAATTTTAAATATTATCGAAAAATTGAAAAAAAAATAATTTTTCGAATATTTGGTCCCAAAAATTGGGTTTTGGGATATAGGTTGTTCATAAAATGGGTTTATTTGTTCAGTAACTACATTTCTACAAAAAAACTTGACGATATAATTCGAATATATGCGAAAAAAATCGATTAATAAGTCTAAATTGGGGTATATGAAGCTAGAAAATACAAACGGTCATAAAAAAATAAATCGAGCTAACTTTTACAAACCCAGCGAGGGTTTTGCTATTGGATAGGTATATTTTCAGAAAAAAATAGTCCGGTGCGGTTTGATTTTTGGTGTTGCACAGTGTAATCAAATTTGAGTCGTCTTCGCCGATCGTCAACGCTTTCAAGGTGCCTTCGTGACTTCAACCTATCCGAAGAACATCTCGCGGTGTCATCGTTCCATTCTTCGATTTACAACATATGTAACACCACAGATGATTTTTTTCTTCTTATTATTATTTCATAGTGACAAGTCTGGAATTCTTCGTTGCTTGTTTGGCTACGCCCCATTCGAGTTGTTCGATATATTGGGCCTGTGATAATTAATAAAATTGGTTTACTCTGAAGAGTCAGTCAGACATATTCTTCCCTCAAGTGTTACACAGGGTTACACTCTTTTAACATTTTCTTCAAGCATAGTACGCGTGATAACAGCACATCGGAACGCATAAATCGTATCTGGTCTTAAAAAAATTAATTAAAACGGGCGGAAAATTAATGCGATGTATTTTTTGTTCATACTGTTATCGCCACATCGGGGCGGTTCAATCGACATTGGGCGGAATTTATTAATTTATCACCATCTACACAATCAGTTTGATTGTTTATTTTAAGTCATGATCGCTTTGTTTTGGTTTTTGTGTCAGGAACTACAATAGTAAAATATAAAAGTGAGTAAATAAACCCTAAAGAAAATATATAAAAATCCACAAATGATTCAATAGAAAACAAAATGTCACCTCCAAATTTATGTTTCTATTTTGTTAAAAACAGGATATTGAACCTTCTATAAACCCTATATAAACATAACAACTTTACATCAATTAATATAAATTGTTAAATTTTTTTTAAAGAAAAATTGCTGTTTTAGGTAATTTTCGTATTTGAAAATATTATATAATTCATATATTTCCTTCTCGGATTCCTCATCCCTTTTCTGGATTCTGAAGGTTTGTTTCGGATTCAGGGGACAAATTTACATAAGAATTGGCTGGTATATGTCCGGTATACAAATAGAGTATGATATTGGACATATGTCCAATAATGGAAAATTTACATTTTTTACCAACCAGTAATTGGACACTGGTAATTTTACTGTTTGTTTTCAGAAGTAAAATTAAAACGCATTAAATTGATAATGTTTAAACCATGAGGAACATATTTATACCACACACTGATCTGTACACTTTTTAGAAATATTTTTTGTTGTAATTTAAACACGCTCTTAACAAAAAAACAAAAATCTTACCACCAAAATAACGTGCGAACTTTTTTGTCCTATATTGAACCCAATATAAAGTAATTCTATATTATTACCGACTGAGATAGTTATAATTCTATACAGCGTCATTTAATGATTTGAATTTATAGAACACTTGTTTTTACAGTATTAATGTTAATTGTCCAATAACTTTAAAGTATCCCATAACTGTCTACTATGATTTTGTATAATTTATATACACACAATATGTTAAATTCAAATAAATTGAAAAAGCAATGGGTATCTAATTGATTCGCCCATATTGGCCGACCTAACGATGATCTAACAGTCCTAGGAAGTGGCAAGAGTGGCAAAAAACACCGAAAGGAAAAGCGGCTGGTTGCATGTCGAAAAAAATTGGACGGTCTACCAAGAGAGGAAACCACATAATTCAGTGAGATTACTACTGTTTGAACCGTGTGGCATTTGTTTTAGCATTGTGGACCACACACACTACGAGGACGATCGACGGACGCACAAGCATTTAGAAAAATTTATAGCCGAGCGTAATTATTAGTTAAATTGGTTGTTTTTACTGGATAGGTAGGTAACTACACTTACCTTATACGATGCTTCGATGATTGGATGATTAGATGCCTCTGACTCTATTCGATTTAATTTAATATCTCAACAAGTAATCGAATTGGTTCCACTAAAAAAATTACCAAGCTATGTTGATATGAATACCAAAAATATGCATGTCAATTTCTTTTCATCTAAAATACTTGTTAACTAACTAGAAACAAACAAGAGTCAGTTCATTAAAATAGGCTTTCTTCATCATGGATGGCCGAGACGGAGAAAGGCGAAACATGCACAGTAAAAAATTATAAATAATTATGTGCTAGAAGAGGCTATGAAGTGCATAAGTGAGATATTGTTCTGCAATGAACTGCGGGTTAATTTTAAAGATGATCAATACTGACTGGATGATTCTGGGCAGGCGGAAATATTTTCTGCCCCCCCTGCAGAGCTACACTGATCATCTATGACGTATCTCTTCAGGTACTGTGCAGTACCCTGATTGCATTTCTTGTGGTGTTTGCTTTACCAAAAATTATCAAATTTTGATGGACTTAGTAGTTTATGTGGATAGATCGTTATACTCGTATATATATATATATATATATATATATATTAATAATTAAAAAAGCTTTTAGGACATTCTTATAAATTTTAGGTTAGTTTTTTTTAGAACATTTTTTTGGTAAAATACTTTACCACAGGATAAGGCTAAGGCTGTAAACTACGGATGGCTAATCTATCAGATTGGGCTCGGTGGACGACACAGCATGCTCGGATATTATTTTACACCCACCTGTCCGGGGACGTTGGAGGACACAGCGAGCGAGACATCGAACACGATAATGCGAACATGTTACACTAAAGCTCGGTTAGCACGGGTAATTTGTGCCCTCTTAGCGCCTAATTTATTGCTTTTCAAACCGTACACGGACAAGAATTTGCTAAACCACACTCATCTACTGCACAACGCAAATTTATATCTAACGTACATCTATCACAACAACATTATTCAATTTTATCTGCGACAAGTTGAAAGATCTGACGAGTACGCTAAACCACGTGTGCATCTAAAGTTTTGGGAAAAAATTAAACGCCGAAAAAACAACTTTGAAAAATATATTTTAGTGAACAACTTGTAACAATGATTTAACGAACTGCCAAAGGTTCATTTGGCGAATCTTTGTTCAAACTTGTCGCATTAGTCTCTGGACGGATGTTATCTAAACTGCGCACCACTCAATGTGTCGCGACCAAAAAGTTCGTTCTTTTTCAAAACGACATAACTTTTTCGTTTCTTGAACGATTTAATTTTGGTCTGTGGTGTCTCTTAGCCCCATCCTCTGGCAATTCATGATTTTTGGAATTGGAATCTTGACAACGAAAATATGATTTTTTTTTACATAAGAGTACATTTAAGGCTTTTTTTGTAGGCAATTTAACAGCCGGGAATTGTTTTCGAATTTTGATTATTAGTGATTTTAGTTTTATCTGAAACTTAAATTTGACAACTGATCACAATCAGGAGGTCAAAATTATAAAGAAAACATGTCACGAACGTAAATATCGGTTCAGGATTAGTTTTCGCAAATTTTCACCAAAATGTAATTTTGAAAAAGTGGTCTTTGCTTAGGCCCCTCTGAAAATAATGGAAGTTTGTTGCTTGTCGCTTGTTCAGAATTATTCAAGGAACAATCTTTCACCATCTAATCTGCTTGTTCTTAAAAGGACTGAGTGTATTGCCTACCAAAAAGCCTTGAATGTACTCTTTTGAAAAAAAAAATCAAATTTTCTTTGCTAAGATTCCAATACAAAAAATTTGAAAACTTTCTCAAGGTAAGTCATAATACTTCAATATTTCAAAGTAAAAACGAGAAAAAAATTATTTTTTTACAAACGGGGCTTGGATGAAGTTATGAAATTTTTGACAGTTTTACATATCACCCTGTACGAAATTTACTTGAAGAACCGTGAGCTTCATATCTATAGCATGAATTGCCAGATGATAGGGCTAGCAGACATCACAGACCAAAATAAAATCGTTCAAGAAACAAAAAAGTTATGTCGTTTTGAAAAAGGACGAACTTTTTGGTCGCGACACATTGAGTGGTGCGCAGTTTACTTCTCGAAATTTTACGATGCAATATTTGTTCGTCTGCGGCTTCCCAACCATGGTGACAGACCTTCCTGTTCAGTAAGGACCAAAAATCTTCAATCTTGAGGTATGTTTGGAGGATTGTCTTCCTTGGACACAAAAGGTATGTTATGTGCTGCTAACCAATCTCTGGTGATTCGAACATAATGGCATGATGCCAGGTCAGGCCAAAACACTATTTCGTCCCCAAGGTGGTGTTTATTAATAGAATCAACTAATTTTGGAAGACATCTTTGGGTATATATATTAGAATCATCTGCTTCCCCCCTTACCTGCCCAACATACGGTCTAGAGATACCTCTATCTGAAATGGCAGCCAAAACTAAAACTTTATCTTCAAATTTTGTTTTCGCCTTTGTGGCAACTTCATTAGGACACTCTTCAATGTTATCAGTGAAAAAATCGTCATTTCCTTTCATTTCCGAACTCGAAAGAGTGAAATATTTTTCGTCATCCAATGTTCGCGAAATGGATTCGTCATAGTGCTCTGCAGCATATCGGAATTGTCTGTAGTAGATTCTGCGTGTATTTTGGGCATTTCCGACTTTTGCGATATTTTAAGTGTTCTTTGTATGGTGGCACTTGATACATGAAATCTTCTTGCCAGTTTTCGATGAGATGTACCGACTTTATGTCTTGCATTTTCAACCACTCTGTTTTCACCAACTTCACTAAGAACCTTGGGTCGTCCACTTTTTGGTAAATTGTTGTTTTGGAGATATTTTCGTTTCGAAAAATATTTACAATTTCACGTTTCGATAGCCGTCCAACAAGGTTGTAGACCCTTTTTCGAATTTTCAATTTATATGGGTAATTCTAAAAAAGTTGGGCAACTTTTGACCTCATTTTGTTTATATAGTTTTCAGAGAAAATTAAACAGTATTTTGTTATGAGAACATAGATAATATAATAAATATACTGTTCCAGACCGGGCCAGTCACTTTTTCACAGTTTCTGAAACATCTGTGTTTTCTAAATTTGAATACAATTGAAGTGACGAGTATACCAGGATACTAATTAAATAAATAATTTATTGTAACATTGAGCATATATCTTAAAATTAAATAATACCACACATCAGTGACAACTGGTGGATTTTGGGTATACCGATATCTCAATTATTAGATATGGGACCCACACCAAATTTATATCTTTAGTTCAGAATTTAAATTGAAGTTTGCGAAAAAAAGATAACACCACAACTTCGCCGCTTGCATTGTTTTCAAGATGACTGTCGTGCAAAGGGCGGGCTCTGTAGGTAATTTTTACCAACACTTGAGTTAAAACGAGGACTTGACGTTTAAACTTCAATATTGCGCAGGAATTTTGAATTTTAACATTGGACGGGTAAAATTGAGTACAAAGATTATCAATTTTTTAAAAATTCGAATCTATGATAAAATATGAAAAATACATTATTTAATGTTTTATAGTTTGTGGTGAAATTGAAAAATTTAAGATAAATTGAATATATTTTAAAATAAAATCACTCAAATATTTGATTCTGGAGTTGTGACACGCCAAGGTACTGTTTTGAATATTTATTATATTTTTCAACAAAGGTGCTTTTGAAAAAATACATTAAAATTGGGTGGACAAGTTAAAAAAAACTGGATCTTTTGTAATATACTAAAATATTTACAAAAAATATTAAAATACCTACTCGATTGACTGATGACATCAAGTTGTCCAACTTTTGTAGAATTTTGAGAAATTTGAAACTAAGGTTTTTTTACATATCAAAAAGTTGCTTGGCAACGAATAATTGTGAACAATGGAAACTTGTTTTGTGCTCATCATAAAGCTGTAATTCATGTATGAAAAAATTCCCAAAACTACGTTACCTAAAAAAAAAATATTACCCAAAAAGATATATCCTGTTTTGAAACCTAGCGAATGTCACAACGTTGATTAAACACTGGAAGCTGCAACTAGTTTGTTTATATTCATTTTTTTGTTGAAAGAAATAAATGTTTCAATTAAGTGAATCGATTGAATGTTGCTGCAATGAGACAATGGAATGCATGTTTATAAATTTGTCATAAGCCGAGCGAGCAACTACTCCAAATTGGGCTGTGTGGTAATATGAAACAAATAAATGGTGGCGGCCTGACTTATTCCGGTTTTCTTTCGCATTGTTCGCCATATACAGCCGATTTTTGCAGGGATGGACTCGATCAACAAAAGGATAAATTATAAACTCTCAATATAATACTTATAAACCCTTAATAAAATAATTTATGGTGTTTTGGTCACGGGCTGAAGTTAGCTTTTGTTAACATGAGTTTGAAGTTTGTTAATTTTATTTTGTAAAATTTTAACATAATTTTTTGTAGAAAACCAGGGTTTGTAATTATTTTAAAATGGAAATAATTTTGTCTAAAGTTTTGTAAAGGTAATATGCAATTTTGAAAGCATGTTGTTAATTTCAAAGGTTACAGATTATTTTGTTAATATTCAACAAAATATTTCGTTGGTTAGGAAACATTTCTTATCAAAGTCTTTTTATTTAAGTTCCCAATTTCCAACAAATACTTTTGATACTGGGTCTACAAAAAGGTTTGTAAAAATAGGGAATTTATTGACAGGATTATTTTATTAAATCTACAAAATGTTTGTTATAATTACAAACTACATACTCAATTAGTTAACAGATCTGTAATCTGGTTGTAAACTTAACATAAAGTTATGTAGACCTGGATTAACTAAAATCTGGTTAATATTTGGTTAAAGTTAAGCAATATTTTTTTACTGTGTACTATTTGAAAAATTTATATGCAAGTTTGCACTGACCTTTTGATTTTGATGGCAGTTAACTAGATTCACCGTTGAGTGTCCATAAAACATTCTCTTCACTTTCACTGTGAAAAACTGATTCTATATCATCATTCAAACGGTTGTTATCTCAATTTTAAGGTATGAATTTTGTTTTACACATACAATTTCAATTAAACCAATTTTAAAATGAAAATGACTGTGGGGTTAGATCCGTCCCTGCATTTTCCCGGTTAGAAACAGTGCGCTACTGGGTGGCATCTGTCCGTCCGTAATAACGCCAAATTATCCACTTCTAATATGATCGTTGTGAGTTTCAACTAATAACGTGGTAAATGGAACGAATTATCGAGCAACTTGACCAGTTTTGGATTGCCTCTCCTATTTGCGAGCGACAGACCATTTACGGCCTTAATAGGGGGAAATAGAGACATAAAACTAGATTCCAAATTGCCGCAAAAAAGTACCCTCGAATAATGATTAGTGGGAACTGACTGGGTTTTTTAATCGCAATTTACCTACATCTGAGCATAGCATACTTGTTTTTTTAACTTTAGTGCGAAATATAAATAAAATAAAATTAATAAAAAGTCAATATTTTGTGTAAAATTAAAATGGAAAAGCCCGAAGATATTCCTAATGGCAACATAAACAATTATCTGTGTGTTGTTATGTGCAATAGGTTTTCGTACGTAGCAATGAAAAAAATCGTGTTCAATTGTGAAGATGCGATTGCACAACTGTTAATTAATGTAGACACTTGTTGTTGGCGCACCTGCGTCGCTTTTTTGCAAAATAAATCGATTTAGAGTTATTTATGTCCCGAACTGCTATAAAACAAAACATAAAATATAATGATTTATATTTTAATATTTGTTACGCGATTTTCTTTTCAGATTATCACTTTATTTTTTCTGACTTTCGCGAGTTTTATTTAGTTTCTAGGAATGGACATTTAGGTAGCATCAAATCTAAGACCGGTACTTAATACAACGTAAATAAATATGTTATATAAAGGTAAGTATTAAGAGTAGGTATAACAAGGTTTTATAAAATTGCCATTTACTGTACATGTTTCATAATGGTCATATAACCTCTAGGTATATCCATAATAAGGTTATATAAGTATTTTTACAAAAATTTTATATAACCTATAGTAAAACACAAAAATGGCTAACCTATCAACACTAATTTCGAATGACTCAATGGTTGCCTATCAAAAGTTTTATAACATTACTACAATTCACAGAAGGCAACTGAATGGGTTGTGCGGGTTAGGGGTAGGAACGTACCGCGGGCTTAAAGTCCCCTCCAAAGGCCTAATACCCTAATACAAAAATACATAGGTATCATATGTATTATAATATATTATAAAACTTAAACGTTTTATAGTGTTACTAAACATAGGTAAAGTTAACCTTAAATAAGCTTTTTAAAAGGTATATAAGGGTGATATAAATATTTCTATAGCCAAATTAAGAAAATTTTATAATTTTGGTAATATTTTGGCATCAAAATTGTCAAAAATATTCTTCTTTTATTAGGTTATACATTAAATAAAAAAAACGCAAGAAATATTTTATGAAAGTAGATATAATTTTAATAATTGAAAGGTGTGGACGGGACAAAAAAAAGATTTATCTTGTCGCGTCCACCCCTGTCAATTATTGAAATTATATCTACTTTTATAAAATATTTCTTGCGATTTTTTTTATTTAATGTATAGCCTAATAATAGAAGAATATATTTGACAATTTTGATGCAAAAATAATATATAATAAATTTCCTACAATTTTTTTTATAAAAACAGTTTTGTGATTTGTCCCGTCCATCCGCTTGAAATGGCCGCCCTGTAAAATCTTTTTTTATTGTGCGATTTTAACTGGATTTGTTTTAAAGTGTAGATCTTGTAATTTTGAAGAATTCATATTGGCGATTTTTTTTAAACAAAATTTAAGCACGGCACTGGATTCACCACCCCTCAAAACTACCCTTTACTTAATTTTATTGAAAAATTTTAAGTAGATAAATGCACAATAATAACTAAAAAAATTATTCTGTCAAGTTTATTCATTCATGAAAAAATATTGAAATAAAATTAAACTTATAGATTACTAATTAAACTTATAGATTATTAATAGTACCATGTTACTATTAGTATTATATTATATTAGCTTAGATTTTGTTTAAAAAAATCGCTAATATGAATTCTTAAAAATTTATACTTATAAACTGACAAAGTAGGCCTTGTATTTTGTAAAAATATGGCGTTTTTTGCCCAAAAAATACAGTTTATCAAGATCTACACTTTAAAACAAATCCGGTTAAAATCGCACAATAAATAAAGATTTTACAGGGGTGAGTCGCAAACAAATTATATATATATATATATATAAATTATCAAAAAAAAAACGTTTTAAAGGCGATAGTATTATAAATTACCAAATTGAACAAAAAATTAAATTCGGACAAATTTTAATAGATATAGATAGAACATTAAAATACATATTTCTATAGGTATCATAATTACCATTATAAAGGTACTAACATTTAAATTAATGCCAATAAAATGTAATCTTGCTTAATTGCTTAAATATAAATATTAACAAATTATTATTCATACATTTTTGTTGGCAAAAGGTTAAGCATTAATACCGACCTCATTATCATAAAAAATAAATAAATAATTTGGTCTCGTCTAGTTACAAAACTATTTTGACCTCAAAAATTAAATTTGTAAGAATGTTAATGTTAATGAACACCCAGTATATTTAAGTTCGATAAAATTATTCTTTGCATGATGGTAAAGTGTCTTGCTTATACGTATACAAAATATTAACAGCTGTGTGTTCTTAGTTGCATACCTTTTGAAAGCTACCTGTTGTAGGACATTTAAACTGAAAATGCTTTATGGGAGATAAGTATTTATTATGTATTAAAAAATTATTCCAAGTTAAAATAAAGTACCTATTTTATTTATTTTGATTTAAATATTTATATTTTTTATAAATTTTACAACAGTTGTAGAATGTTGATTGTCAAAATATATGTATGCATGGAGACACCAACAGGCGGTAAGACAACGAAACTTTAAAATTAATTACACGGAGAGAAAAGTATAATGCTGATTACCATCATTATAATACCCTTTACTATAATTTATAATACTATTTGGGACAACTATCTTGTATATTGCCAGATACTATGCATATTTAGTAATTTTTAAATATCCATGTATGTTAAACCTTAAGGTAAAATATTATTATTCTCAACCAATTTTGTTTTTAATTCTTAGATTTTTTCCATTACTAATAAATATAGTAAATTTTAAAATATTATGTTGCCATTTTAAATATAAAATATTTTAAAATCGAATATTTTTATATGTTAACAATTAACATATTTATTGTACTTTTTAATATACAAAATATGTTATGAGAAAGAATTGAACCTACACCTCACCAAAGTTTTTTGTTTTGAGTGCGTTCCATCAAATTCAAATACCGACAACAGGTGTATTGGGTATCATCAGTGTCGCAACTTGTAGTAGTGGAACACACCCAGGGCCGAGCCTAGGGTATCTGCCGCCCGGGTGCAAGAATTAAATTTGCCGCCCCCATTGATGTAAAAAATTAGGTTGTCGGTAGGGAAGGAGTTCATAATTTATCATTCTCAATAAACATATAACAAATTTTATAGTACATAATAATAATTATTAACAAATACTTAAAAGAATAAAATAAAAATACATTCAGGAAAAAAAAAACAAAAATAATTAAACTAAACTAAAAAACTAAAATCTACTTTTCTCGCTTTTTTAATAGCAAATTCCCTAATCAAGTCGCCTACATCCAAGTTGTTAGAAATATCTTCTTCAATACTTATAATTGCTAAATTTGAAAGCCTAAATAGGTCTTAATTAGTTTTAATTTCGAAAATGACCGCTCTCCATGGGCATCGTCAAAAATATTCTTAAAGCTACAAATAAATTCGGAAAGATGCCTTTTAATATAATTAACTAGTTTTTAACTTAAACGCATTAAAAGACAAAAGAAACTACTATGTTTGCATCCTATTTGCCTCACGTTAATAGAAAAACTAAAAATTGCTGAAATACGCAACCGTTAAATCGGAAGAAATCATGCTTTAACCAGAGATAGGGTTATCTCTGCTTTAACTTAACAGTTCAGCTTGTAAACAATATCACGTGGTACACAGCGCGCGATTTGATTGGTTTCCCGTAAGCCCGCTTCCGTAAAACATGAAACTTGACGAACTCGAAGCGGACGGACGGAAAGCGAAGCGGGCGGGCGGCAATCTATAAACCGGGCTTTAACAAAATTGCCATTATCATTTTTTGTGGCTATCGCGCGTTCTGTTATGTCTTTTTTATCATTGCCGCCTGACAGCACAATTTTGGCATTGTTTTTATGTGTAGAATAAAAACGATGATTCCTTGAAACGCCGACATCAATAAAACGCAAGTAATGTTTAGAAAGTTTTTTGCATATTGCAAGGTGGCTTTTTTATTCTTGATAATATGATACAATTTTTTTTATGATATTTTGCCGCCCTGTGTTAGTGCCGCCCGGGTGCCATGCACCCCTTGCACCCCCGGCACGGCTCGGCCCTGAACACACCCAAAACAAAGAAATACCTGAGCTTATATAACATGGTTGGTAAGCCAACAGAGGCGAGATGTAAGAACATCACGTGATCCACACCGTCTAACGACGCGTCGCGACGTGGCCTTGCCGCAATCGGTACATACTAGGCAACCAAGTAGGTTTAATTCTTTCTTATTAGTGTTACCAGTAATGGGTCAAGAAAGTTTATTGAAGAAGTAAGAAAATTGAATGTTTAAAATGTCATGAGTTACTATATTGTGTATTATATTTAAATATACCTATTGTTTATTTACCTTAAACAGAAAAGTATCTTTATTTTTACTATATTTTTTATTAATGTGTAATATTTATATTTTATTATTAGATGTACACCTTATATTTGATTAAATCATATAGTAAATATTACTATTTGTAGATAGCAAAATCAATTTACTATACGAACATATTAAAAATTAAAATATATATTATACATTTATGATTTAGTAATATTGGTGTTGTAATCTTTATTAAAATTGTATAATAAAAAATAGTATTTTGTATTACAATCTTAATATTGTATTGACGAATATATAATATTGTTACCCTATCTAATATGTTCTTATACATTTCATAAATACATTATCTGTGAATATAAAGTAAGTACTTTAAAAATAAAAATAAAAAATCAAAGAATTTTACATTTTGATGATTATGACCCCTGTGGAAATAATAAATATAAATAGGTACCTATAGTTATAGATGAGTACGTATTGTTGGATAATGTTGGTTGGGAAGAAGGAACGTGTACATTGTTAGTATGTATGTGGTTGGATGAGAGATGTGCTCTGTGGTTCGGTCGGTGTAAGGTCGCGAGAACTTGCTGACCCAAACTCAAGAAACTTAACACCTCTATTCCCCACATTACCACATTCGAATTTACATCTCCTATTAACCTTCTATCCGCATGTAATACAATCGAACCGAATTTATTGGGCAACTTTATTTAGTGGCAATGATTGTTTAATAAACATAAATACTTTACACATGACGCCCCACAGTTTAATAACCAATTTTTCTTGCATTAAATGTACTCGTAAAATTTTTTCATGCATTGCGTTCATCGAAATAACATGGAACGATAACATAAATTATTAACAATATTGGGTGATTTATGGGAAATTATTTTTTACGGCGATTATAAAGTCCTATTAATTTAAACTGAATGTCCATTCCCGCTCACTCATAAAACATCTCTTGTATTTTTGGTGATATAAAACGAGTTTTATTTAAAGGCTTCAACACTGTTATAAAAATCAGATTTGTTAACATGAGTTTGTAGTTTGTTAATTTTATTTTGTAAAATTGTAGAAAACAATGGTTTGTAATTATTTTAACAAAGAAAAATATTTTACCGAAAGTTTTGTAAAGGTAATATGCAATTTTTTAATTTTAAAGGTTACAGATTACAACTATCCAGAATTCTGTTATTATTGTTATACGAGGTGTGTTCAGAAAATATCGGGAATTTTCGTTTTTTGAAACAAATATTTATTTATTCGTCTACATTAATGTTGTCGCCTTCAAAATAGTCCCCATTGGGGCATGTATACCAACATAATAAAGAAAATTTTATGACAACCAGACCCTCCGAACCCGCGAAATTTAACAATTCCCGTTATTTTCTGATCACACCTCGTAATTACAACTTATTCAATTAGTTAACAGATTACAACAGAACTAAAATACATTTTTTCTGTTTAAATATAAAAAGTTTTTATTGAATATAAAAAATTTTTGTTCTAAATAAATTTTAAAATACAGTATAAAAATAAAATACCTGAAAACTGCATATTTTTTTATAAAATATCATTATAATTAAGCCATAAAAATATGTTGTTTTTAAGATATATAATTTATTTCAGTTAAGGTTATCACCCTGTACATACATAGGTATCCTGTTAATAACGTTAATAGCTTGAATATAACCGCAAAGCTAAAAAATCGGTTCCATAACATAAATTTTAACAGCACACCAATTTGTTCTCCTAAAAATTAACTCATAAAATTTAAACACCTTATTAAATTGAAATTGGGAATTTTTATTCGATATTTCGTTTTTTAAAGGTGTCTAAAAAAGTATTCACTGTTTAATTAAGATGCAGAGTGGTATTTCAAAAGTTTCTCTCTCCTCTTAATGACTTTATTTCTTTATGGCGTAATTATATTTTATTTATTTATTATGGTAAAATGTTTACACTCAAAATACATACATACATGTTTGCGAAGAAATTTAATTTAATTTTGTTGTATTATCTTATTAAATGTTAAAAATATCTACTTAAAAAAATAAAATAGTTTTTTAAATAAGGATTAGAACACTTGATCATGAAATCTAGCTTAATCTTAAAACAATGTTTACGCTATTGTCAAATTCAACACTAGCGTATTCTGAATATAAGTGAAACTTATCTTAATTCTTAAGTATAGGGCAATATTAGAATCAAATATTATGTTTTCTTGTGGAATAATGAAACGATATTCTTGGGCGAACGCTATTATTTAAACAATGTTGCCGTTACTCTTGATTGTTTATAAAATACAAATCAATAATAGAAATTCTAGAATAAACAATTTTTTATCGAATCAAAAGAACTACTTTACTGAAGATAAAGATGAATAATTTGTCGACTGATATTTGTTAGTTTAAAAACAAATTTTTAAAGGTGAATAATTTACAAGTATTATCTTTTTTAATACAAAAATAAACTATAAACAATACATTTTAAAGATAATCTATCTTTGGTGACAAAATCCAGTTAAATCCACCCCTGTGAAAAATAATTGATACTTAACCCGACTTTCGAACTGCAAAGAAAAAGAAAAAGATTTTGAACGTTGAGAATACGAAAATAAAGCAGTCAAAGAGGGCCTTGCCGTGTTATTAGCGTGTAATAATTCAAGAAGGAAACTGCATTAACGACAGTTTGCACTTCAATTAAGAGATAAATTTGGCTGTCTGTTTTTATAATGTATAATATACAGAACTGGGGCATCTTGCAAATAAATTATCAGAGGAAAAAAGTCTTATTAAGTCTTCATCTCTTCTGATAGTAATAAGAACGGATTAAATCGATGCCTGTTTAATTATGCTTAACAAGACCTTATGAAATATTTTTTTAAAGATCCTGCATTAAATTACCAAAAAAAAACAGTTTAATTTTACCTCAGAATGGCTTCATTACTCTCTAAAAATGAATTAGTCAAAAATGACTAATTTAATAGTTATTAGTGGCTGCTTATTTACTTGTACCATGGTATCACACAATTTAATAGCCAATTCTTATGTAAAATTGTCCCCTGAATCCAAAAACGTCAAAAATTATAAAAGTGGAGCAGTTTTTGAGATATAGTCAATGTGGGTTAAAGTTACGAAGTACATCAGTAGGTGTATTGTTTTTTTTAGGATATTGATTAATAGAGCAACTTTTTTTATAAAAATTCTTTATACGAGGTGTGTTCAGAAATTATCGGGAATTCGTTTTTTGAAACAAATATTTATTTATTCGTCTACATTAATGTTGTCGCCTTTAAAATAATTCCCATTGGATATTATGCACATGTGCCAGCTCTTCTTCCAATACTCGAAACACTTCTAAAACTCGATCTTTGGGATAGCCTTTAGTTCTTTCAGCGATGCGCTTTTAATGTCATCTATGCTTGCAAAACGACGGCCCTTTAAGGTTCTCTTAATTTTTGGGAATAGGAAAAAGTCAGACAGAGGCATGTCTGGCGATTATGGAGGCTTGGGCATCATTACAGTATTATTTTTGGCCAAAAATTTTGTTCAAAATTTAACAATTTTAGAACAAATTTTGTTGCCACGTGTTTCATACATAAAACGTTCAAAAAAATTTCATGGGATGAGCCAATCGATATACCAACATCATCAGCGACTTCTCTGATGGTTTATAACCATTTCTTCCACTTTTTCTATATATATATACATATATGTTTTTATCGGTTGTTAATGTGCTTGTGCGTTCGGGGCGTTCGTTATCTTCAACGTCTTCACGGCCATCTTGAAAACTCTTATACCACTTGTTTTACTTATAGCAGACTCACTATAGGCCTTTGTTAACATTTCACAGAATTAATTTCATTTTTTAAGCAAAATTGGATACAAATTCTTTGATAAATTTCTTTTAACGAACGAAAAATCGCCGAGCTCATAAAACACGTCTAACCTTAGCTAGTGTTTAACATACTTAGGGGTCATGTATACCAACATAATAAAGAAAATTTTATGACAACCGGGCCCTCCGAACCCGCGAAATTTAACAATTTCCGTTATTTTCTGAACACACCTCGTATATAAGTTCCCAATTTCCAACAAATACTTGTAAAAATAAGGTCCTCTTTAAAAATTACAAGAATTATGGTTAAATTATGATGTAGGATTTTGTTATTAAATCTACAAAATGTTACAAAGTACTCTGGTTAATATTTGGTTAAAATTAACAAGTATTTTTTATACTGTGTACATCAGGTTTCCAAGAAATTAAATTCACGTAAATTTTGCATCAAAACTCGAAAATTGTTTCTGTTTATTTAATTCACCCTGTATGAAGAGACCTAATAAACGTCCTCTTTTTCAAACTCTTAAATCTAAAAAACATATTGTTGACCTTGGTGACATTAGTGATTTTAAGAAGGCAAAAGAAGCGAGGTTTTCGAGCGGTGGTCGTAAAAAGTAAGAATGAAAGAGCAAGTTATTTGGTGCTAAATAAGTTTTTGCGAAGCGCGGCCTGCAACGTAAACGTAAACTTTATGGTTTCAGCTCTGCAGAAACGTTTCGACATGACCGTTTTAATAGTATGTTTTATTTATCTGCAGTTGCCTAGAAAGAGGAGGCAGCAGCGTTCGTGTGTGGTCCACAACGGCAGCAGTTCGGATAAAAAATTGCAACACCTAATATCATTCCGCGACTTCTTTTTCACTCGGCTCCAAGAATTTTAATTAGGTAAACAAAGAAGTTTAAGCGCATACAACCTAATTACGTCTTTCCAAAACCCCGTACAGATTCCAACACAATCGATCTTTTAAATTTGAATTCCCATATGCAAAGTACCCCAGGGACAATTAGAAAATAGCTACAGAACGCAAAATTGCTTCTTTGTAATTGGTCGATAAATTCGCAAACCAAATTGTATCCACGGAAAAATACGCTGAACCTAATTAAAATAATTTGAATAGTGGAGCTAGGCTATCGGTTCTAAAGGGAATACTACACAGCAGTGGCAGCTAGCGCTTAAGGTAAAGTTTTCGCAAAAATTTGTGAGTATACGTATACGTTTTAAATTTATTTTATAAGGTAGATAACTTGTCCTTAATATGCCTATAGGCAGTATACTGTCTTGTAAAAGCCAAGATCAAGAACTGGACTAACAACCAGGTCCAAGACGAATGGTGAAACAACGAGACCTTAGACTTATGCAAGGTGAAGAGGCAAAAAAGAGCTATCACTGGTATCCTAACAGAATAGGTACTAGACAATCAGATATTAACTTGTTCTTGAGGTTGCCTCCTGTCTTGTGAATGCCAAGATCAGGAACTAGACTAACAACCAGTTCCAAGACGAATGGCTGGAACAACAAGACCTACAAGGTAAAGAGGACAAAAAAAGCTATCAGAGGCATCCTAACAGGGCACTGGACAATCAGATATTAACTTGTTCCTAAGGTTGCGTCCTGTCTTGTGAAAGCCAAGATCAGGAACTGGACTAACAACCAGGTCCAAGACGAATAGCTGAAAAAACAAGACCTAAGACTTACACAAGGTAAAGAGGGAAAAGGTATAACAGGCATCCTAACAGGGCACTGGACAATCAGATATTAACAACAACAACAAGACCCTAGACAATAC